ACTTCAAATTATAAACACTTTTAAAAATAGCAGTTAAAATAGTTTTTTTGCTCTCCTGAAAAATTGAGTTTTTGCAGATAGAGGGTATTGAATATAAGCCCTCGATATATTTTTTTATATATTTATTTATCTACTTATTTATCTTTTAATTGCTTATTAGTTTACATGTTCTTTTGTATGTGGTCTCACACTTGAATTCGATCAGACATAACATCAAAATGAAAAAAAAAAAACAAAATTTCGAGCTTTCTTTTATTTGTCCTGAATTCGAAAAGCAATCTGCAAATTGCAGAAGAAAAGTGTGTTGAAAATAATTTTTGTGTGCGGATATTTAAATATGTATGTAGAAACTTGTAAAGAAAAAAAACTCCCGATAACGTGTGACTCCTACAGGACTTTACAACTAAGTTAAAGTTAGTTTTGTCATAGCTAATTAAAAGTTAGTAATTTATGGAAATCCCGCAAAAAAGCTAACCAGAAGTTGGTTATTTTAATAAATTGACAACTTTTTTCTGCAGGATATTGTACGTACATACATATGTATGTTTGTATAACAACAAAAGAATGAAAACAAACTTTATGACAAGCCTCAAAGCCATTTCCGTTTCTCAGTCGTATATATCGTCGTTTAAAGTAAAAATCCGCATGTCAAGAGAATGCAAAATCGCGTGTGTGAGGTTGTCCAACTTTTACAGTCGAAATTAAAAACTGTCTTATTTCACAACGGTTCTCTCTTTTATAAAGCAATCCCATTTCAAGCTAGTTTCATAAATCGATATTTTGGTACGAATGGATAAGGCTTGAAGTCAGGAGCTTCCGCTGAGCAAATCTTATTTTTGGCACAAATGTCAGTTACGCTTTTTTTGCAGAACGACGACGCAGGGTTTTGTACTTTAATTTATATCTACATACATATATGTACATACTTATGTAGGTATGCATGCGTTGATAAAGTCAATTAATCTGAATATCATTGTCATTTATTTGCTTAGCAGTCCTATCAAAAATACATATATAATATACTATTATGCATAAACATAAATACATATGTACATATGTACATTAGACTGCATCACCAAAAAAAAGTTGCGGGTTTTCCGCCGAAATATCAAGATTTATATTTTATGACGTTCACCAAAATATTTCGGAAAAATATTATGATTTAAGCGAGCTGGACCGATTTGCAAATACCTCCAAAAATAGAGTTTTTTTTTATGAATAAAAATAGGTTCTTAATGAAATTTTTGAAAAAAGTCCCCTCAGACGGCAAAGCAGATTAAATAGGCTTACAAAATCTGCATAAAAATATTTAAAAACCTTTTCAACGGAATCGTAACAAATGAGATTTTTTATGCTGTTTTTTTTTACTTTTTTTAAAGATTGATTTACCAAAAACTTAAATAACTGGACCGAACCTGTTCTGATTTAGACTTATGTGATCTCGGTCGAAAGGTATTTTTCCCCACTATTTTTATTTATGTGCACAAAAAGTCATTCGTGCCCCAATTTTTTTTTTTTTAAATACCAACACTTTTTAATTCATCTTTGAATGAGGTTCGTTCATCCTACCTTTCTCTTTCATCCTTTGAATGAGTTTATTAGAGAAGAAATAAAAAGGATGAGAAAATATCTTTTCAATGATACCTCACAAGTCTAAATCGGAAAAGTTTAGGATCAGTTATTTAAGTTTTTCTTATACCAATCTTTGAAAAAATTTCAAAAACAGCATCAAAAATCTCATTATTACGATTCCGTTAAAATTTTTTTAAATATATATATTTTTTTAATTTTTATTTTTTGTTATTTTTTTGGCCATTTAACAATTAAATTCAACAATTTTATAATGAGCTCGAGGCCATTTTTAAATGAAAAATTTATTGTGGAAAAGCAACAACAATTTGAAAAAAGGGTAGAAGTGATAGCTATTTCGGAAATCACCACATTTCCTCATCAGACTTCTTTCAGTAGGATTCGAACCGACGATCCCACTGACTCAGCCAGTTGCCCATGCACCGCGCTAAGACGCCTTGTAAATTATCGTTTGCTTATTTCCACTATTTTTCATTTTTGTTATGCCAACACAATCAAGCGCAGCTATTCCATAACAAAAATGAAAAATAGTGGAAATAAGCAAACGATAATTTAC